CAAGGAGACGATTCACTTGAATAAAAATCAAAAATAAAGAATAAAAAAGCTACCTAACTAAGGCTTTTTTCTCTGCAAGTTGATTTTCAGTGAAATAACCCGAAAGCAGTAAGTGCCTATAACAACTTCCACGTACAGACCATGGCATTACTTAGTAGATCAAAGTAAAATTAAGGCCACCTTCAATTAAAGTTGAAGGAGGTGTCGTGGGACCAACTAGACCAAACACTGGTGAAAGGAGGTTCTCACCCGATGACCCCAAAGACATGTTAGTTATCACTGCTCACTGGTCTGTATAGTTAAGCCTTGCCATAATAGCTTATCATAGGGATTAGGAGGTTATTCACTGAGTGCTGATCCTTTCTTAGAGCACAAACTTCTTGTGTTTATTTGAATCCCACTGCATTTTTACTTGCAAATAAATAAGGATTAATGTTTATCTGAATTTATAATATGAAAAAATATGTTTTTAGTTTGACAATTGAACATGACATCCTTCAGCAGCTCATTTGTTTGATTGGGTGCGCTCCAATCATAGGAGTATCACACTGCTCAGCCTCCCTGGGAAAGTTTATTCCAGGGTACTGGAAAGTAGGCTCCCACCGATTGTTGGGCCTCAGATTTAGAAGGAGCAATGCGGATTCCTTCCTGGTCATGGAATAGTGGACCAACTCTTTACCTTTGCAGGGCTGCTGGAGGGGTTGTCGGAGTTTGCCCATACAATCTACACGTTTGTGGACTTGGAGAGGGCTTACAACCCCATCCCATGGGGAGTCTTTTGGGTGTACTGCAGGAGTACGGGGAATACGGGTACTAGGGTTGCTGTTATGTGCCATCTGGTCTTTGTATAACCAAAGTGAGAGGTGTGTCCACATACCTGGCATAAAGTCACACATGTTCTCGGTGGGTGTTGGCTTCTGCCAGGGTTGTCCCTATTCTCCGATTCTGTTTGTGATATTCATGGACAGGATCTCAAGGCGCAGCTGGGGGGAGGAAGGGGTCCAGTTTGGTGACTCAGAATTGCATCTCTGCTTTATGCAGATGATGTAGTTTTGTTAGCTTGCATGCACTGGGGCGGTTTGCAGCCAAGTGTGAAGCGGTCATGATGAGAATCAGCACCTCCAAGTCTGAGGCCATGGTTGCCTGCTGGAAAACGATGGATTGCCCCCTTTGGGTTGGGAGTGAGTTACTGCCCCAAGTGAGGGAGTTCAAGTATCTCAGGGTCTTGTTTACTAGTGAGGGTAGAATGGAGCGTGAGATGGATCAGTGGTTTGGCGCAGCCTCTGCAGTGATGAGGGTGTTGTGCCGGACCATCGTGGTGAAAAGAGAGGTAAGCCTGAAGACAAAGCTTTGGATTTACTGGTCCATCTGCATCCCAACCCTCATCTATGGTCATGAGCTCTGGGTAGCGACTGAAAGAATGAGGACACGGGTACAAACAGCCAAAATGAGTTTCCTCCATGGGGTTGCTGGGCTCAGCCTTAGAGACAGGGTAAGGAGCTTGGACATCTGGAGGGAGCTCGGAAGTAGAGCCATTGCTCCTTTACGTCGCAAGGGGTCAGTTGAGGTGGTTTGGGCATCTGATCAGAATGCCTCCTGGGTGCCTCGCGTTACAGGTGCTCAGGGCATGTCCAACTGGTAGGAGGCCCCGGGGCAGGGCACACTGGAGGGATTATATATCTTCTCCTGCCTCAGAATGCGACCTGGCTTTGGATAAGCAGTTGAAAATGGATGGATGGGTGGATGGATGTATCTGAATTAGTATTGTGAAAAAATATGTTTTTAGTTTGACAATGGAACATGACATCCTTTAGCAACTCATTTGTTTGTCTCCCCTCTAGTACTGCACATTTCACAACTTCAATTTGCAACTGTTCTTGAGTATTCTTTGTCTCTTTATTTAGATCATTAAATCTTAGGTTTAACATCAGGCATAAAGTATAAAAGTATTGAAAACATCTTAAATTTAGCATCCTGCAGATGCTCTGCAGACAAAGGCAGGAAGGATGAGAGAAATCCAAAAGAGCTGAGGGCGTTGAGACAGATCACAAGTGAAGAGGAGGAAAGATACAGAGAACTAAAAGTTAGAGGAAGGTAATGAGAGGGATGAAAGGATAAAAGACTGAAAGACACAGATGTTGAGATGCAAGGGAATAGATGAGTGAAAGACCTACAAAAAAAAGAGAGGGGCGAGGAGTACGTCATCTAAAATTGGAAATGGGTGGAAAAAAGAGGACGTGAGGAGGAAAAAAGAGGCAGAGGAGGAGACGGAGAGAAAGGATGAAAGAAAGAAGGGGATGTTTTAAGGAAAAAAGAGAAAGTGCAAAAGAGCCTGAGGCCAAACTGAATGAAGAGGGGAGGGAGAGGGGAAGAGGGTGGGAGGCGGAAACATTTGACTGCAATGCGTTTTTGTTAAGTTTTATCCAGGGCAGATGAAACAGAAAGAAGCAAAAATCTGCAGTTATAGCAGCAGACACACCCGACACACACTCATAAAATTAATGACTCACTCAATTTCTTTTATTTTATAGTGGATGGTGTTGTTGGATTTTTGTTTTGATTTTTATCATTATACATTCACATACAATTTTCTGCAGATATTCCTTGGCTGTAGAGGCTGAATCCTGATATTATACTGTTATGACCTCAATACAGTCTTGTTTTTACCAAGAGGTTGATCATATATTTCAAGCGGAGTCTGAAGGCAGAAAGTAAACACTTTTATTTATCTGTGTTGGGTGTGTGTGACCCCAAAACATCAAAGTTGAAGGTATCAACCATAAAAAAGGGAATCAGAGTGAGACAAGCCAGGAAGATGAAATAAAAATAAGAACCCTGAGGGCAAAGCAGACACTGGCCCATCCAGTCTACCAACAGATAACTGAGAACTAAAGCTGACAGGAGCAGAACCACAGAAACAAGACAACCAAACAAAGTTGCAGCACAAACCACAGGGTCACATTGGGCTGCTGCTGAGGCCATACCTGACTGAGACCACCTCACCTCAGGGGAGAGCATGGATCAAAGCAAAAGCCGCAAAGGCCAGTAGAGGGGGAGCATAACTTTCCTGCAGTGTCAGAATTAGTCCAGAATATCAACCAAGCATAGGTGATATACTCTTTTTGGCTGTTTAAGTTGCTAGCACTATCCCTACTCCTCAGAGGATAAGCGCTTTTGCCTCGGTGTAGACCTCTGAAGCTCCCACTCAACGGAGCTGACGGACTCATCTGACATAATGACATCAAGCAGTGGTTTCTTGGTTGAAAAAGCAATCCATCCAATGAGTGCCACGCAGGGACTAATAATTAGACATCAGGCCCACATGCGAAAGTATGGCTGTTGTCAAGCTGCTGTTTAGCTGTCCCAACATTGTAGTTTGTTTTTGCTTTAATTTTATTCAGGTCCTAAAACCCCAGCACAACCAATACATTAGCATGGCTACGCATCAGTAATATGACTGTATGAAATAATATACTTAACCACAGCAATGTGCCTCATCAGTTTGTGGACTCCCATTTGAAGCCTGCAGTTTGGCAACCATTTTTTTTTTGTTGCCAGAAGTGCCCATATTTGGACAGGAGGGTGGAGATAACCCTAAAGGTGGCTGCTAGCTTAGTTAGGATGCTGCTTTTACAGCTATGCTTAACTGTGATAATACCAATGTTAATTTTTGTTAGCACTAAAACAGGCTTTAAAACATAACCACAACTGAACATCTGGCTCCTTAGAGGATCTTTCAGTACAACCAAACCCTGAACAAGACTTTTTATATGGACGGCACCGATCTGCTATTTAAAGTGGCCACACCTTAATGACAACATCAGCAAATGGGTCAGTTAAAGAAAAATTCACCCCAGTACAGTCGTCATGAACGGGGAAATAAGCTATAGAGACCGAAACCTTTTTTCATAGTTGAGAATTTTAGTATGGGGGTCGATGGAGACTGACATGTTCAAGTGGTTATTCAAGGAGCGCAGGTTTTGGCACTTGCGCCTTGGGTTCATTGCTTAGCCTTGGAAGCTGCTGCTTCATTCAGGCGGATACATTGGTCTCTAGTGTGGTTACGGAAAATCAAATCCCTCTCCTGCATGGGCATTGATTAGAGTGGAGGCAATGTCAGACTGAAGATGGAAACAGAGTGTATCAATTTCACATTTCTGTCTGATATCAGGCAATCAGTGCTTTTTAATGATGATGATTTTGATGACTTCATGACCTTTTATCTAGTGCCACCTTTAAGACAAACTTCTCAAGCAATTACAGCTAGTGAGGCTCTAAGAACAGCTCTATCATGTTTTTTCATCCTTCCAATGGTTTAGCAATCTGAGATGCAATACATTTTGCTTTAACAGGGCTTTCAAGTTTGAGTCTGGTTAAAGTTGCCTTTTTTAAAAGGTGCCCTTTGGAAGTCACTTCAGTCGGTTCGTAATATATTAAATTCATTTCATCCTATTTAAAGTTTTGTATTTTTTTCAACTCAGACATCATCTTGTAACAGAAGAATTGGCATTAATTCTAACTTCTGGAGACAGCTGCAGTCTTGGCCCACGTCATGTTACTTCAGACTGCTTCATGTAACTAAAGACTTCAAATAGGAATAGTATAGAACATACGCTTTAAACCTGGAAATAAAAGCCTGAAGTCACCACCTCCAACCACAGCAGCACCACAGGCTGCACTCATTATTAAGACCAGAAAATTTAGATGAGCACCACTGGTTATACTGCATATTAAGAGTGTCCTCACAAAATCTATTTCTAACCAACAACCAGCAATTTTAGCAGCAGCAGCAGCACCTCACAAAGACACTATGAATTCTAATGGTACGAAGCACTTCCAGCCCCGAGAGTGGCTCCATTTGTTATGCAGACTGGGTTCGGCTGCAGACACTTGATTAAGCTGTTAATGTGTATGTGTGTGACCTACAGTAAGATGAATTACCTGTCTTAAGTGTCTAATTTGACTGAACTTTTGTGTTTCTGTGCTTCGTCTCTTCTCAGATACACTAAGATGAAAACAGCTACCAACATCTACATCTTTAACCTGGCTCTGGCTGACTCTCTGTTCCTGGCTACTTTACCTTTCCAGGTATGACTTATTTGCAAGGGATTATAAAAGAATTTAAACCTTGACCTTTTACACTGTTTCCTGAACTAGTCTTTTTGCCCAGTCTTAAGATTACAATAACTAAAAAAATATCTCTAAAATCTTTGATTATTTTTGTGACACCTGCATTTTTTTCCATTCATATCTGGTCCAACTGCATTTTTACCCACTGAGGCTGTAAATGTGTCCATAAAACAAGTTCAGATAAATGTTGACCAACACATTCTTTGTCAAGATTCACTAAAATGCAAATGTCAGAGTCTGACCCAGCCCATTCTCATTCTTCAGTCGTCAAATACAATTTGTCACGCCCCTCTGCATATCACATGCAGACACCAAAGGCATCCTTTAGCTTCTTTATGATAATATAATGATGATAACCTTTATTTGTATAGCACTTATTTAAACATAAGCCTGGTCACCTTTGGTTACCACCCTTGACCTGTGGACAACTAGTGAGGGGTAGGCTTGAGGATCTCAGGTCATGACTTGGAGCATAGGTGGTAAGAAGCTCAGCTCTAAGTTGGGGCGAAACCATGATGAACCTTAAAAGTTAATAAAATACTCTGAAGATCAATTCTGAAGTTAAGTGGCGAGGTTTGGGGTGATATGTGACCTGCGATTTGTCCCAGGTAAAATACAAGCTGCATCTTTAGGAGACACTCATGGCTTTTAACTAAAAGCTGATGTAAAGAGGGAGAAGGTCAACATAGGGCAGGAGGGAGGGGAGGTTAATGGGTCAAACAAAACCAGACAGAATAAAAAGAAATAACCTGGAAATCCAGATGCCCCGCCCCTAGCAAATTCTAATTTGCTCTGCACGGGGATCTGGCCCCAATGAGCAATCGGACCAGTCAGATCAGTCTATCTGACAGAGGCAGGCTCTGGGTGAGCGTAATATGATGAAGACAGCGCTGTGCCGTAGGAGTCGAAAAGTAAACAGCCAAGATGGCAGCTGCTGAAGGACCGCGTCCACTCAATGTAGCTTTGGAAGAAACGCTAAGCCAACTACACTTATCTTTATCCTTAAGAGAGCAACAGAAGACTGCCCTAGAAGCTTTCGTTTACAGGAAGGACGTTTTTGCTGGTTTGCTGACGGGATACGGCAAAAGCATCATACCTCCACTGGTCGGCAAACCAACGGGGCTTAGTGCAATGAATATGTCACCTTGTATTTTGCTCTGATTGGCCATCGTGCGATCCAATTGTTTGCGGCGGCCCATAACGTGGTCTCTGCCTAAACCTAACCACAGTCATTTCACAACATTAAACACATTAGAATATGTTTCAGCTGTGCTAAAGGGCACCCTAAGCATCACTATCAGACGCCAAAGGGTGTTACAAAGCATTGGTGTTTGATGACCTGGGAATGAGAACAGGTTGTCTAACCATAAAGGTTGTAAAACTTCTTCTCATTTCTGATGCTGTCACTGGCTCAGTTAGTTTGATAAACTCGTGGGTGACATCAAGAATTTATTGTTGTGGTACACAGATGGATAAAAGCTCAATTTATGTTTTTTCAGGGGCATTTTGCTTTCAGCATGGCTCTCTCGTTGACAGTATTAAAGAAAACAGCAATGCCCTTGTTCTGGAGGGGCAGCAGGGCTTGCAATAAATCAGAGTGCAGTACAATAAAACTCAAATGTTCTGCTGTGATTGTAGAAGATGAATTTTGAAGGTAGACAACACTGCAGGTTAAATGTTTATTTTCTGCCACTATTGATTTTCAGAAGTGACCCTGAAAACCTTTAGAACAGGTCAAAGTAAAGAGGAGGGTGCTCATCATATTAAATATCAGAAAACCTGAGTATATTAATGAAACACTTGTGTCTAACATGTGCAGGCTTTACTGTAAATGTGACAATACTCAGCTGTTATGGGCAGAGATACACAGGGACCCAAACAAAGCCAGCGCCTCTGTGCAACACTCTGGGTAATTTATTCTGTTAATGGTAACAGATGTGTGAGGTCTTAATGGATGGCTGATTAATTAAGGACAATTAATGGAAGACTGCTGGAAGATTGCGTATATGTTGCACAATTCTCTGTTATTTAAATTATTTAACATTGTTTAAAATGAAAGTTAAAAGATGTTGTAATTCAGATTTGCTCTTTGCCATCATCTGGATATTATAGACTTTATCAGTCACTGGTTGTTTGTCAGGTGTTGAGTTTCTTTGCCTCACTGCACTGATTTGTTTCCGCTGAACTGTCCAAAGTCATATTTCAGAGAAGATGGAGTCCTCTGTTTTGCCTCCAGCTCTTTTTCTATGTTCATTCTCTGGTTTCCGGATGTTTGCAGGGCACCGACGTGTTCCTGGGCTTCTGGCCGTTTGGGAATGCTCTGTGCAAAGCGGTGGTGTCTATCGACTACTACAACATGTTCACCAGCACCTTCACCCTGACAGTGATGAGCATGGACAGATATGTTGCCGTCTGCCACCCTGTCAAAGCGCTGGACATGAGGACTCCTCACAAGGCCAAGGTAAAACTGTTTCATTTCAAAGTGCGACATTCACCTTTTAGAAACCTTCACACCTACTTCATCGTCCCTGAAATGACCGCTGACATCAGATCAGATGTTAACAGTCACCTTGGCTCACTTGTCTGCCCATGAATCCTTTAAACTCACTGTGTGTGCTGTTGTCATGTGGGAAACTGACATCTTAAGAAACGTTCTTCCAGGCGCCGATGGAGGCATGACAAAAGGAAGGAACACTAAAACACATTCCACTATCAAAATTTAAACCATACAGTCTACTAACATTTTGAAAGTCTAGATGAGCCAAACAATAAAATCATTTCATCCCCATTTAAGTTAATTGAGGGCTAACCTGGATGTCAGCTGCTTGGCTGGCCAAAGTCTCAAGTGCACCAACAGTGCAGAAGCTCCAATAACTTTACACACAGACGTCAAACTATTTTTGGCTTCATGAGGCAATGAGCAGCTTCTTACAGTAAGGGGTCCTGTCTCTGACGATGTATCCTGTCCTCTTTATACATTCATCATATAAAACCTTCTGTGGCTCCAAAAGAAGCTGCGCAAAATCTTACATCTTACATTCATTGCCTCATGCATTCGGTATTAGAGTTAGCAGCAGGCGACAGAGGTCTGGTAGAATCACTTCTTTTTGTCAGTGGCCTGGGGTGCCAAAAAGGGGGGAAAAAGGAGAAGGATTCTAGGGGCCCATGATTGAGAGGGGCCCAGAGAGGCCCCTAATAAAATTATAATACTGACTAAAAATAATATGACAGTTATTAACTAACTTATAATCATAAATATATTTTATTTATAAAATTTATTTATATTTATATAAATAATAATAAATAATAAATTTATATCTATTTATATAATAGCCACACGCAGTTTGAGTGAAGTAAATAACGTCTTTAGAAAGCTGGTGCAAACTGGGCGCTCCTCTGTGGAAGCCTCTCGCCCAGACTTTCCAGTGATCGTGGCAGCAGTAATCGTCTGTTAACAGTCTGTAAATAATATTTTGACATTATTATTATAATCATTATTACATTAATGGCATCCGAAGATACTGATGTGTTGAACAGGTGACAGTCTGCGGCCGTTCTCAAAATGCACTTCTGTCACGCACTTCAAAAGCAACTTTCAATAATTTATTTTACGAAACGGGGGAAACAAACGTGAACAAAAACAGTTCCATAATTCATATTAAATTCAAAAGATAATGAAAAAACAGCTACAAGTGAGAGGGAATAATGATAAAGTGGTCAAACTGGGTCAAATCCACAGCCTCAACCCATCTGACACTGTTAGACTGACTCACCAGCAGACATCACTACATGAGAGTATACAGTATTCACTACTTTGCCAAACACTTACCATGCCATGCCAGGCTAACTGCAATCAGGGGCAAATCAGGGGCAAACTGCACTCAGCTGCCAAACTTTGTGGACGTGTTTGCGCTTGTATGTCATTAGCGCAATATCCTTTGTGAATAGGACGTTAAGACGGAGGAAACTGCGGGTGCAAGTGAAATGCAATTCAAGGTGCTGTCAGCGGCCACAGTTCATTCTTTGTGAATTCGGCCCTCAGAGCGCAGTGGACCAGTGGAAAATGTCACCATCAGCATATTATTTTACATCAATAAAATCTATTTTATCATTATTTTGAGTCACATTGTTGAAAGAATTTAGTTGTCTGTGTGCAAACAGGATAATAGGTCTTCATTCACTGCACGTCGGGCTTTCTGTTTCCTTTTCGGAGATGGTGTTGTGTTCAAGGTCCCCCCCAAAAAAACGGGAGAAAAAAAAAGGCTGAATATTCGATTTTATTTTATTTTTTTTTTTTTCACAATCGAATCCCGTGCCATTGAGCTTCAAATTTTTTGGGTCAGCCCTATAACGTACACTCTACAGAGCCAGGTCCAGGATCCTCTTCAAGTTTGTCAGGGAGGAATGTGGAAGTGGAGGAAGAGGTTGTTCTTTTTTCACAAATGTGGGAATGATAGTCAAAAATACCATCAAAATGCTTAGTTTTATGTAAAATAGCATCAAACATTTTCGGCGGCCTCCCGGCCAGCTGTATGTAGGGCCCAGTAAAAATTCTTTTCATGGCCCAAAATCCCTGGTGGCGCCCCTGTCAGTGGCCATGGTGCACTGTGGGTAATGTAGGCTCATCTACCTGGAGTCTGACGATGTTATAGGTGAGCAATTCTAAATTGGTGGGGTACTCTTAACTTTCCTCCTGGTTGCCATTTTAATAATAGCTGTGTTAAATTGAAAGTTTATCAGTCAGAGGGCCCTGATGATGTGGCTCACTGTCATGGTTTATTAGAACATGTAGCATAACACAGATATTGTTAGTTATAACTGAGCTTTTCCTGCAATGATTAGTGATGTGATCGCTCACTGATGTGCATTTGAACAGTGATTTAATCAGTTAGCACAGTCAGAAGAAAACAAACTACACAGTGACTATAAGTGATTCACTGCACTGTTTTTCTCACATATGCCTGGAGCTATTTTAGACCTGTCGACATAAGGGTTAATAAATAACACATCTTGCTATATAACCAATTTATCTGTATAAGTAATGCAAAAAAAAGAACATGTAAATCACCGTCATGTTATCATGTCCTCAGGTGGTGAACATCTGTGTGTGGGTGTTGGCATCGGCCTTTGGCGTCCCAGCTATGGTCCTGGGAAATGTTGAGGAGGAACAGGAGCATAACAGTAAGAAACTCACACACACACGTATACAGTAAATACATACAGTTACATATACTCATACTGCAGGTATGCAGTGTACACGTGCACCTCCACCACATATGCATTTGAAACAAAGAGCCTTCAGCACGTCATCTCACATACTGTACCTTAAGTGCATTTTACTTGTGACCGTGATAGTGTGAATTTTAATGTCTAATTAATATGCAAAACAATGCACGGCTGTGTAACAGTGCAACACAGCTTTCACAAATATATCCACAGATATATTGGAGCTGTACATCAGGAGATTGCTTAGGGAGACGTGATGCGAGTGAACCCACTTTACAAATGTTGTTGCTGTCCCAGTTTTTATAGCTTCTGTTGCACAGCGTCTGACTAATAGGCCCAGCGCACGTTGTTGTACGATGCCTCTTTTCCTCTTCATTTACTATCAAACAAGTGCAGAGATTTCAGAGAGACGTGACACATGATACTCCACATGATGCCCCATGTTATGAACTTCCACACAGCAGGTGCACGGTTATTGCTACCAAAATAGAAGGAAATCTCCAGCTCTTGATGTCTTCCATGGAACCGATCAGCAGAGGTGATAATGTCAGAACAATGAGATAACAGCATGAGTCATGAGCTGTTGTGTTTTGATTATTGATAATTAATGACTCTGAGTGGGTCCAAGTGAAGACTTAATATAACCTGTTGCACAAAGTCCATGTAGCTTTCAAACAGTTCAGATGACTGAATGTTTTAATGTGAAATAACTATAAAAACAAACATGTAAAATGGCCAACATCATCATTTACGTCTTATAAATATGCAACACTGGGATTAACTGAAAGAGGAAAATACAACTGGACTCAATCAGCATATAGCATATAATTATACTCAGTTCCACATTTATTATAATTATAAATACAGCAGAGCTATAATCCATTAACACATTAAAAATAAGGAACAAAAATGAACACGTCTGTGGACACATCAAACTCACCATTCCACTGCTGTCGCTCTGAAAGTAAGCACATCTTCTTTTTCTGTAATTAATTTATTTATCTCAATTCCTATTAGTCACCACCAAGGTAGCAACTACTCCTGGGGTCCACACAAGCAAACATTACATCATAGTGTAAAACAAATATTTAATTAAAAATCCGAGGCAAAAAGAAACAAAATACAACAAGAAAACAGGAAAACTTTAAAACATGAGATTAACCACATAATAAATAAGTAGATTATAATATAAACTTGATTTACAAAGCACTTTCATGCAAGAAATGCAACAGAATGTGTTTTACAATAAGTTCAGTATAAGCACTGAGTGCTTCACATGAAAATAGAATGAACATAAGACAGAACTTATTCAAAATCATAGAGTTGTGAAATTATAAATTATAAAATCAGGTAAGATTTTAAGAGTTGCAGCAGCGTGAAGCCTAAATAGAAAGTAAAAGCGTAAGAAGAGTTTCAGAGCTGTATCAGGAAGGTCAGAGCTAGTTAAAGGCTGAAGTGAACAGATACGTTTTTAGCTTTCCTTTGAAAATATTTAGCGAGCTAGCTTCTCTGATATCTGTAGGTGGTGTGTTCCATAGCTTTGGGGTGTAACTGACAAAGGCTGCATCCCCGCTCTTCTTCTGGCTGTTTCTGGAAACCTCCAATAAACCAGCAGCAGATGTTCTTGGAGGCAAATAGTTCAGCTAAGGGAGTTAGCAATGTAGCTCAGCCCCAGCCCATTCAGGGCTTTGTATAAATAATGATAATAATAATGATAATGTTACAGCTCATGGGTAACTGAAGTACTACTAAACGGCATATACAGTGAATGATAGTAGAGTAGTTTCATGCAGTCAGGTATTATGTAACAAACCTGATTTGCAGTGGGCTGCTGTTCTGTGCCATCGGGTATCTCTTTGACCCCTTCTTAAAAACAGCTGCACTTGTTACATGTGTAATGTCTGATGGTAAACTATTCCATGATTTCACCCCCCTGAACATTACAGTATGTTGCATTGCATTGTTTTTCAAACAGGAAGTGAAAAACAACCTTTTGCCTCATGCCTACTATTAATTTTATGGACCTTGCTACTATAAAAAAGGGATGGCAAAGGATATGTGGGGTTTTAGACAATAAAATATTTCTTGTAAAACAGAGCAGAGAAATAACCATCGTGTCCTTCACGATGGCTGACCTAAGGTTGTATCATTCTGGTGATATTACAGTTCAGGGCAAGTTGTGCCCTGTGCGGTGCACACCAGCAATGCTGCCACAGATGCATGACAGTATTGCTGCAGTTCAGGAATCCCAAACCTGTCTTGTGATATTCAATTTCAATTCTATTTTATTCGTAAAGCCCAATATCACAAATCACAGTTTGCCTCAGAGGGCTTTACAGCACTGCTCGTGTCCAGTAAGTCAGGTCCATCCTTTTTTTCTCCCATACCTCCTCATATGTTGCCACATGTCTGGAAACAAAATCCAATTTTTCAATCAAGTATTTCCAAACCTCAAACCAATCCACTTTCAGGTCCAGCCTCGAGTGACATTCAGGCATGCATGCCTCTTCCAATATTAAGCATGTGGTATGCAGTTTTCCTGGCAGACTCTCCTGCGCTCATATATTACATGAAAGTTCAAAGTTTTTGAACGCTGAGCCCGAGCTGCAGCTGCAGGATCCAAGATGAGAAATTAATCAAAGGTAGTTCTGAATGTATTTTTCTCCACCATCGTATGGAGACCAAAACATTTGGATAATGATGTTTCAGACCTCAGGTGCAACTGTCTAGGTTTGTTAGTAAAACACTGCTGCTCACAGTGTACCTAACAGATCTCAGGGAAAGTTATATCATAAGATAATTAAAGAGTATGGGATCTTATACTCACAAATAATAACATTTTACAGGTATGTAATTATCCTATAAATAATTTGCTTTAACTAGCCTTCGGGTTTTAATGTTTTAATTCTGCCTGTCTTTGTTTCCACCTCTTGTAAGTAGAAGGAAGAATGTGACGGGTTTATTAGTAACTCTGTGGACCTGCAGCTCCCACAGAATACACAAATACAAAAAATGCTAAATCTAAATACTTGTCACTGCAAAGTTTAAATTGGATTTATGTCACTGATGCTTTAGTAGCTGTAAAATTGTCTTTCTCCCTCTTTCTGCCACTCCCAGGGTTTCAGTGGCATTTTAGGCACCAAACACAGATGTTTTTTGGGGACCTGTTGCTGGGTTTCCTGCTTGTTTTTAGTCTCCAAACGTGGGTGTCTATTAGCAACATCTGGCTGTTTTTCCATCAGGGACAGTGCCACAAAGCGTGAAGCTTTTTTAATGAGAAAGTTTAAATATAATCGCTACATAATAACACACAAATGTAACATATCCGTGGTTTGCAGAAATGTACAATGGCAACATTTCTCTGGTGATTGGGTTGTGTTGACAAGTCCATGACTTTGACCATGATGGTGATGATGATGATGATGTCCAGAATCATGCAGATTAGTCATGTGTTGATAGTGATATGGAGAGGTGACAAATTAAAGAAAAAAACAACATTAAGTGTCTTAGTGAAGAGTTGAGCCACCACATGCCTCAATAACTGTTTCAGTACTCATTGGCATTGACTCTCTAAGTCTTCTCTACTGGAGGGATGAGCACCATTCTTCCAAACGATATTCCCTCACTTGATGGAGAGCGTTGTCATACACATCGGTCCAATCAGCCGAGCCTGCTCAGCATTCCTATACATGCCGAGGAGCATGATTGGATGTTAATTGCTTAATTGTATCATGCAGTGCAGCTGTGTGGAAGCATCAGGGTTTGTTTTGTTTCTCCACTCATTGATTCAGGTTTTCCTCTAATTTGTCACCGTCTGTACATTAAATTATAATGCTGCCAATATTCAGTGTTCATCCCCCAATATTAGTGTGTGAATGGGCGAATTAGAGGCACATTGTTAAGCACTAAGGTGCTATATAAATGCTGTCCATTTACCATTATATTATTTATGGCCCATGTGAGGGTAGGGGTGCACTGATATGGATTTTTTCAACCAATATGATCACCGATAACTTCACATTTTTGTATTTTAAAAAATAAGTGTATAACCTGTAAATAATGTACACCTAAGGGTAAGAAAGGCTGAGATGTAGTGAGGAAATATGGATTAATAACAAACACAAACAACAGTTCTGACTCCTCACACCTGCCAACATTAGGCTGTAAAAAAAGACGGAGACTTTCTGGGGTGGTGTCAAATGGCCGACCCTCAACGCCTCTACACCCATATAACCCTACACTACAGATGAAGCCCTGTGTTACTGTGTGATTCTCTGGTGTATCAGAAGAGTGCATCAACTACACTGCAGAGTGGAGTCTAGTACGTCTGCTGTATGACATGTTTAAATCATTACGCTGCATTTTTATAAACACACTCAGGTGTCGTCTCACCATCCCACGATAGACTAGCCATCAACTACCAAGTAGAATAGTGATGAGCTGTTGATTCACCTCTCCCATTATCACTCAACTCAGACAAACACACGGCTGTATCTCACACACACACGCAACCAGAGAGAGAGAGAGATGTGCTCCAGACTGGGTCGCCAGGTAACAACTGAAATAAATGCATCACATGGCTAGCTGTTATTAATAAGTTAAACAACAAAGTTGAGTTTTTTAAAAGCTCTGTGTTGGATGTGAGCCTCTGCTGCTAATTAGCTTGTGCTAACACTTCGGAGACGGTCCTTCAGTGCTGTGTTTAAGTTGTTTAACAGCTGCAGGAAGTTTGTTAATCTGGTGGGGTGTTTGGCAGTCTGAGGTCAGACCCTTGGCACAATCCAGGGTGCTGCAGTTGTTGTTGTTGTTGTTCCTCTCTGTGTTTTTTGGTGGATTGCAAACAAAGTTTAAAGGTACATGTGCCGCCACTCACTGTGTCAGGTGTGTAGATGCTGCTCTGATTTAAGTCAGTGAAAGCAGTTTGGCTTCATATTATCAGTGATATTTATCGGCTA